AAGTTTGAAGTTAATCCGTTCATAATTACTCGAGATATCGAGCGGACATCGTTCGCATGCCTGCCTGCCCGCCCACCCGCCCGACCGCCCGCCCGCTCACGTGATAACATAATACGTCCCCGTCTTCGACGGGCGTATAAAAAGGCAGATATCACTATAAAATGAGATAGACTACACACATTCACACATGTTGAAATAGTGAAATTAATTCCATCATCATCATCATCAACAGCATTATCCATTTATCATCATCATCATCATCTCATCATCAACAGCATCACTATAATCATCCATATATCATCTTTCCATCGTCACTATAGTCGTCCATATATCATCATCATCATCCATATATAACATCCTATTCATCATCCATATAACATCCTATTCATCATCCATATAACATCATATTCATCATCCTATTCATCATCCATATAACATCACATTCATCATCCATATAACATCATCCATATAACATCATATTCATAATCCATATAACATCATATTCATCATCCATATATCATCATCATCTGTACATCATCATCACTATATATGTCCATATATCATCATCATCCATATAAATTATCATCATCATCATCCATATATCATCATCATCTGTACATCATCATCATCACTATATTCGTCCATATATCATCATCATCTATATAAATTATCATCATCATCATCCCTATATCATCATCATCTGTACATCATCATCATCATCTTATCACTATATTCGTCCATATATCATCATCATCATCCATACAGTACGCGTCAGGTGATTTGGTACTCAGTCGCCCACCGAGCAATAAATTTTAATCCCTGCCGCTCGTAGCCGCGGGATGATCCCTGAAGAATCGCCGGATATATCAAGGTAGATCCGCCGGCTTTACATTGATAAGCCCTCCGCGTCTATCCCGCGTTCATGGGTGATGGGGATTAAGTCTGGACAGAGAAAATACAGTATATTACCACTGCCATGTATGTGTCTGCTGTGGCCGCTGTTCCTGTCTACGGTACCACAGATGTACAGTTACTGTTTAATGGGCACACCGAACAGAAAGCACTACTTGAATTTACCGAACGAAAAGGAAATAACGCCAGCACATACTAGGGGGGAAACCCGTCTTGTAGTGGATATTTAAAAAGAAACAAGTTCAACGAGATCTATTTAAAATTACTCATTTATGCTTTATATAAAGTAGCATAGCAATATAGCCAAATTGCCCCCTTTTGGCCCAGCCCTCAGCCGCCACGGGGTCAGACACACCATTTGTACAATTTTGAATCCCTGCCTCCCATGAATGCTTCTGATTAAATATGATTGATATCCAGTGCATAGTTATACAGAAGAAGTCGATTGTAGCAATATAGCCAAAATGCCCCCTTTTGGCACCGCCCCTCAGCCCCCTGGGGGGTCAGCCCCACCATTTGTACAATTTTGAATCCCCACCACCTAGGGATGCTTCCAGTCAAATATGGTTGATATCCATCTCTTAGTTCCAGAGGAGATGTCGCTTAAGGCAATATAGCCAAATTGCTTCCAGTCAAATTTAGTTAAATTCCAATCAGTGGTTAAGAAGAAGAAGTCGTTTAAAGAAATTGTTGACGGACGGACGAGGGACGACGGACAACGGACGACAGACGACGGACGCCACGGTATGGCGTAAGCTCACCTTGGTCCTTTTGACCTGGTGAGCTAATAATGCTTACCTAAATTGAATTACTTCCAATGGAAATTAAACCAATTGTGGTCTAAAATGTGATTTCACCATATAAACTATAGTAAAGTTTACCCCCTCCCCAGGGGAAAACGTGAGACCCCAGGGTCATGAAATTCACAATTTTGGTAAAGCACCTTAAGACCCTTCCATCTATGAAGAGTATTTGATTCTACCATATCTGGGTCTTGAGAAGAAGATTTTTGAAATTTCAGTCAATTCAACCCTTTTTGGCCCCACCCATCAGCCCCTGGGGGTCAGTCAGGGCTCATAGGTGCATACTATCAAACTGCTACCTAATACTGATAATGCTAACCCAAATTGAATTACTTCCAATGGAAATTAAACAAATGTTGGTCCAAAATGTGATTTCCCTATATAAACTATAGTAAAGTTTACCCCCTCCCCAGGGGGAAACGTGAGACCCCAGGGTCAAGAAATTCACAATTTCGGTAAAGCACCTTAAGACCCTTCCATCTATGAAGAGTATTTGATTCTACCATATCTGGGTCTTGAGAAGAAGATTTTTGAAATTTCAGTCAATTCAACCCTTTTTGGCCCCACCCATCAGCCCCTGGGGGTCAGTCAGGGCTCATAGGTGCATACTATCAAACTGCTACCTAATACTGATAATGCTAACCCAAATTGAATTACTTCCAATGGAAATTAAACAAATGTTGGTCCAAAATGTGATTTCCCTATATAAACTATAGTAAAGTTTACACCCTCCCCAGGGTCAAACGTGAGACCCCAGGGTCATGAAATTCACAATTTTGGTAAAGCACCTGAAGAACCTTCCATTTATGAAGAGTATTTGATTCTACCATATCTGGGTCTTGAGAAGAAGATATTTGAAATTTCAGTCAATTTGACCCTTTTTGGCCCCGCTCCTCAGGCCCCTGGGGTCTTGGGACTAAACCGGCCACTATCTTTGTTGAACTTTGTCCATGGAAGGTTCCTGCAAAATTTCATTGAAATTGGTTCAGGGTTTTTTGAGAAGAAGTCGAAAATGTAAATTGTTTACGGACGCACGACAGACGACAGACGACGGACAACGACGGACAAAAGCCGATCGCAATCGGTCACTTGAGACTTTGTCTCATGTGACCTAAAAAAAAAAAAAAAAATTGAACTAGTTATCGTACAGAGTATGTATTGTTAGTATCATATAAGAAATGCTTGTATTGCAGTTCTCTTTAAAATCGATCGCCATTCCTGTACAGAATATACTGCCCCAGGCGAAAAGCAGGTACCGAGAGTTTCACACCTGTTTGGAGGGGGGGGGGGGGGGGGGGGGGGTTGTATATTGTATTGCTGTCCAGGTAAGGAACTTTCCATTGTATCAAAATAGTTTGATTGGCAGGGGTTAAACACAGGTGAGATAAACTTTGGTTAAAAGTTAATTGCTTAATTGCTTTTATGATAAGTGTAGCGCAAGTAGTGGGGGGGTGCGAGGCCCAGTTGGGGGTTGGCCTCCCAAAGAAAAGTTTTTTGAATTCAAGGTCTCTGGATCAAATTCCTGTGTTTTAAGGAAATTTGGCGATTAGATTTAAGGAGACGTAATTTATGTCTCTGATTTTCATTTTGGAAAAAAAGTTAGAAAACATATTTATTGCGATTTATTGCGATTTTTTTTTAAATTTTACTTTACTTACACAATAAAGGTTTGAAATACACGTATATTAAATATGTTTTTACTCATCAAAATTATGTGTACTCATTTGCATATGGCTAGAAAGCTACGCGCCTGCCGATGAAAATAACAATAATAAACTAAGACATGAGATTGCAGCAAGAATTGTTCTTCAACTTCTTGCGTAATTGTCAGTAGCAAGGTCACAGTTCACCTCATCAAATGATCTGGTAGTCTTGGCCAATATTTGAGACACTAACGTCCTTTTTAACTAGTCAAAACAATAACCGGCGCTTGGATTAGAATTTAAAATCGTTCCAGATCATTCTATAATTTTCATGTACAGTTTCCTGTTTATACATTAAAGATGAATATGTCCAATACATTAACACACGAGTAGAATGGTAAAGCTAACCATGCTTGACAACTTGAGACACCCTGTTAGCAGGCAGCTAGCTTCCTGCTGTGGGTCAAGGGTCGCCGCCTCCGGTACCTGTAGTGTTGCAAACGCTTTTTACCCTCTGTTAGAATATGGACTAGCCAAAATCAGTCACATTTGGACGAAATATTAAATTCTAGGGTTGAAAGCATATCTCCAAATAATTCTGTGTCGTGTTTGTTTTGTAACATCTGTCAAGTTTGAAGGCCAACCGGACACACGGCTTCACTACGCTAATTGGAGACAAGACATTTTGTTTCGTTTACTATATGTATATATACATAATCAGTTCCACAGTTAGCCAACAAATCTATATCTACATATGTTTTTAGAACTGTTTGCCACTTTGATGTACTTTGAAAAACTTCTGATCCAACCTACTTTGAGTGAATCTATAAAGGCCTTGATACCATAAAAACCCATGTAATTTGCGCACTTTTTTCTCCAGAAATTTAATACCCGAAGTGGGGGGTGCGTAAAATACACAGGTATAAGAAATATCAAGTTTTTTTCAGGAAAAGATTGACGATTCTGGTAGACCGCCATCTTGGATTATCTCCCTTGGTACACGGAATTCTAAGACAAATGTCGATCAACAAATTTATTTATGTCAAACATTAATAAAAGATACAGTTGATACATAATGTGTTGTTACCCGAGTTTATGTGAATAGTATTATCAAATACGTAACTGTTAATAAAGAAAGTTTAGCCAAATTCCTATGTCAGAGAATCGCCGATCAACTTAATTACGTTTCGACATCTCAGTGCGTTTTCCCCATAATCTTACTATTACGAAAATGAAGTTGTTCAATTTAAGCTCCGTTCCATGTAAGTTCTGTTAGGTGTTTTTTTCAAATCCTGGCTCACTTTCATGTTGATCTCGCGTCTAACATTACGTAAACACGTGATCGATTATAACCTCGTGAATTATTTCAATATTTATTGAATGAAACATCGTAAAAATAGTCTGATTTGATTTTTTCCCCTTTGGAGTAGATTTGAATAGGATGTATTGATTGTCCACACTCCTAGTATAAACATATTTTTTTATAATCCCTTATCGGTCAAATCAGTCAAGTTATGACAATGCAGGGCTTCGTAATTAACCCCACGTGTTGGTGATTGAAACAAGAGGCCCAATGGGCCTGCATCGCTCAACTGGTATTAATCTCACACTTGTAATCTTAAAAGTGGACTTAAATACAGCTACAGGCAGAATATCAGTGTTTGATTCACAAGAACCTATTAAAAGATTTAAACATGAAGCCTGTGTCCTTGAATGTCGAACAAGGACATTAAGTTGAAAGTGGGACAAGGTCATTCATTTGAACAAACTTGGTAGCCCTTTATCCCAGCATGCTACAAGCCCTATATCAGTACCCATGGCCTTTTGGTTATTGAGAAGAAGTCGTTTGAAGATTTTAAGACATCTGACCCCAGTGACCTTGTTAGTGAGTCAAGGTCATTCATCCCTGCATGCTACAGGCCCAATATCAGTAACCTGGGCCTTTTGGTTATTAAGAAGAAGTGGTTTGAAGATTTTAAGACATTTGACCCCTATGACCTTCAATGTTGGTCAAGGTCATTCATTTGAACAAACTTGGTAGCCGTTCATCACAGCATGCTACTGGCCAAATAGCATTATCCTGCGACTTTTGGTTATTCAGAAGTTGTTTAAAGTTTTTAACATATTTGACCCCTATGACCTTGAAAATAGGTGAAGGTCATTCATTTGAACAAACTTGGTAGCCCTTTATCCCAGTTTGCTTCTGGCAAAATATCATCATCATAGGCCTTTTGGTTATTGAGAAGAAGTTGTTTGAAGTAAAATATTGACACCGGACGACGGACGGACGACGGACAGACGGACGACGGACGCTGCGCCATGGCATAAGCTCACTTGCCCTTCAGGCAGGTGAGCTAACAAACTGTATATAGTTTGGGCATCGTTTCCACGACAACTCCAAACTTTTCAAAGTCAGAAAGATGAAAATACTAACAGACTCACCATTATAACACCTACCAACTAAAAGTGTTAACTCACCAGCCTGCCCCTGCCCCTGATCCTGGAGTAAAAACAGAACCAGTTTTGTGACACATATAGATTGCCCTGCAGTAGGATGTCTCCAAGAAAGGCACATGAGAAATCTGTAAAGAACAACATAATAATGATTAAACAGGAGGTCCAGAGAGCCTGTATCACTCACATAGAGGTTCAAGCAATCATGGCTAAATGATATCATTATTAAAATACTGTAAAAACTTTTGCAAAGACGGTGTGCGCACATTTTTGGTGCGTTTTGCGCTCGCACAACTGTATCAAACAAATCCTGGCTTTCTCTGATAACTATAATATCTGGATTGATGGTCAATTAATTCACTTCAATATCCTAAAATTTGTAGAAAACAAGAGGCCCAGAGGGCCTCTATCGCTTACCTGAATATTGAAGCAGTCATAGCAAAATATTCTCATTAAATATTATCCTGTACTACAAATATTTCACTCGTAAACTTTGTCGGCTCCTCCCCAGGAAACTACCAGCTAAATATTACAAATCTTTACTGTAAGATTATTCAGAAGAAGTCGTTTGAAGCGTTTGACATATTTGACCCCCGAGACCTTGAAAGTAGGTCAAGGTCATTTTCATTCTCAAAATTTGTCAGGCTATAACCCAGGAAGCTACAAGCCAAATATGAAGATTCTGTAGGTTTTTAAAAGAGGTCGTTTAGAAGGTTTAAAACATATTTGACCCCTGTGACCTTGAATATATTTCAAGGTCTTCCATTTGAACAAACTTGGAAGCCCTTAATCCAAGTATGTAATTGGCCAAATATCATCACACTAGGCCTCTTGGTTATTCAGAAGAAGTTGTTAAAATCTTTTAACATATTTGACCCCTGTGACCTTGAAAATGGGTTAATTGTGATCAGTCAATGTGCATTTTAGAAAAAGTCTGATTGGATTGTATACCGACAAAATCTAACTTGGTAGAATACAATAGATTATCAAATATATTGGAAAACTAGCACTGTCGCCTGTGGGCAAACCAATATCCCCCCTCGTATTATGGCTGCTTGTTGCCTCTGTAGGGGCTAAATAAACAAGGGAAAAAATATATAGAAAGATCAAGGGCCATGAAAAAGTATAACCTCAAATGTCGTATAGACAGACCAATGGAAAAGAAAAACACCCCTACTGTGACCTTTGACTCAATTACCTCAGAATTTTGTCACAATGTTGCTTGCATCAATATTTACTCCAAAGTATGTATACAAAATACCTACCATTTCTGCCATAATTAGCCAATTCAGTAACATAATGCATATATGACCTTTGACCTCATGACTTCGGAAGTTTGTCATAATATAGCCTGCATAGGTGTATACAAAATACCTACTGTTTCGGAGATAATTAGCCATTTCGGTAACATATTTCATTCATGCCCATTCACCTCTGACCCCACGACCTTGGAAGCTGTCAGTAGAGTAGATTGCATTAAAGGGGCATCATGGTGAAGGTTTTTTTGTGTCTTTTTTTCAAATACTACATAAACATATCAAGTGAGACTCCTTATGGAAAATAACAATCAGATTTGGCTGAAATAGATTCATAAAAATGATTAAATCTAAGATAATCATCGGTATTTCTACCTGTCTGACCAACGTTTTGTTCAGGGATTTCCCTTTACTAGCGCATGCGCATAGCACACCATCTCTTTGTAAACAAAATGACAAGCCATGTGAAGTAAGCGAAAGGAAAGTGTTGTACCGTGTCAGCTACGAAGCGAAAAGTTGCCAAATGATCAAAAGATAGCGCAAGGAGTACGTTACGGAATCATTATTGCAGGTGGGAAGTATTCAAAGGAGAAAATAACTGCCCTAGCAGTTAGTACGGTGCATGTATTCTTCCGCATAGCCGGTTAATTAAAGCTGAAAAGGAATCCACAGAAATGCTAGCGCTGTTTATGTTATGAATAATATCTAAAACTATTAACCTCGCTAGTATCTTTGTCTGAGTTTGAACACAGATGAACTTACTTTAATATGTTAATGGGCATGTATCAGAGAGAGTTTACTTTGGTTTATGCGAAAGGAAAGGATAAGTGACTGGTTAGTTTGATTTTGCCATGAGGCCCTCCAAGGGATAACTATTGTGATGGCCACGGAGTATTCTGTTCTCTTCTCTGTCGTTACTCGGGGTCAAATGAGATATATATGTGCGATTTACATAATTTATAATATTATCGGGTTCAGTAAAATGGCATGATTTAATTATATTGCTGAATTAAACGATTATATTTTGTTTTTACATGCAAGATTTAAATTAGTACTAAATATGAATACCTGACCTCCTCTTGCGCAAAGAAGCAATATATAAACAAGAGGCCCAATGGGCCTGCATCATACACCTGGTATTAATCTCACACTTGTAATCTTAAAATTGGACTAAAATACAGCTACAGGCAGAATATCAGCGAGACCTTGAATGTCAAACAATGACATTAGGTTGAAAGTGGGTCAAGGTCATTCATTTGAACAAATTTGGTAGCCCTGATTGCTACAGGCCAAATATCAGTACCCTGGGACTATTGAGAAGAAGTGGTTTGAAGATTTTAAGACATTTGACACCTGTGACCTTGAAAGTTGGTCAAGGTCATTAATTTGAACAAACTTGGTAGCCCTTCATCCCAGCATACTACTGGCCAAATATCATCACCATAGGCCTATCGGTTATTCAGAAGAAGTTGTTTAAAGGTTTTAAACATATTTGACCCCTGTGACCTTGAATATAAATCAAGGTCATTTATTTACACACACTTTGTAGCCCTTCATCCCAGCATGTAACTGGACAAATCTAAGTACCCTAGGCCTATTGGTTATTCAGAGCAGTTGTTTTAATGTTTTAAACATATTTGACCCATGTGACCTTGAATATAAATCAAGGTCATTTATTTGCACAAATTTGGTAGCCTGACTTCATTCCAGCATGTTACTGGTCAAAAATCATCACCTTATGCCTCTTGGTTATTCAGAAGAAGTTGTTTAAAGAATTTAACATATTTGACCCCTGTGACCTTGAAAATGGATGAAGGTCATTTATTTGAACAAACTTCGTAGCCATTCATCCCAGCATGCTTCTGACCAAATATCATCACCCTAGGCCTTTTGGTTACTGAGAAGAAGTTGTTTAAAGTAAAATGTTGACGACAGACGGACGACGGACGCCGCCCCATGCAATAAGCTCACTTGGCCCTTCGGGCCAGGTGAGCTAACGAGAGGCCCAATGGGCCTGCATATTGGGCCTGCATCGCTCACCTTGTATAAATCTCACACTTGTAACCTTGAAGTGATCTAAAATAAAACTACAGGCAAAATAAAGTAAAAGAACCTGTAATTTTTTTTTAAAACATTTAACTCCTGTTATTGGAAATCGAACAAGGTCATTATGCTGAACAAATTTTTAAGCCTTTCATCTCAGGATGCAACTTGCAAAATATCAACATTCCGGGACCCATGGTTATTCAGAAGACCCCTGTGACCTTGAATATAAGTCAAAGTCATTCACTTCAAGAAACATGGTAGTCCTTGATACCAGAATGCTACTGACTAAATATCAACATCCTGGGCTTTTTGGTTATTCAGAACAAGCTTAAGTTGTTTAAACATTTTGAACATATTTGCTCCTTGTGACCTTGTATATGATTCAAGGTCGTGCATTTAAACAAACTTTGTAGCCCTTCATCCTAGTATGCTACTGACTAAATATCAACTTCCTGGGCCTTTTAGTTATTCAGAAGAAGTTGTTTAAAGGTATTTTTTTAACAATTGACCCATGTGACCTTGAATATGGTTGAAGGTCATTCATTTGAACAAACTTGGTAGCCCTTAACCCCAGAATGCCTGGCCAAATATCATCACCCTAGGCATTGGGGTTATTGAGAGGAAGTTGTTCAATTTTTTTTAAACATATTTGACCGCTGTGACCATGAATATGGGTGAAGGTCATTCATTTGAACAAATTTTGTAGCCCTTCATCTCAGCATGCTACTGATCAAATATCATCTCCCTGGACATTTTGGTTATTCAGAAGAAGTTGTTTAAAGTTTTTAACATATTTGACCCCTAAGACCTTGAATATGAGTGAAGGTCATTCATTTGAACAAACTTTTAGCCCTTCATCTCAGCATGCTACTGGCCAAATATCATCACCCTTGGCATTTTGGTTATTGAGAAGAAGTTGTTTAAATGTTTTTTAAGACAATTGACCCTGTGACCTTGAAAATGGGTGAAGGTCATTTATTTGAACAAACTTTGTAGCCCTTCATTCCAGTTTGCTTCTAGCCAAATATCATAACACTAGGCCTTTTGGTTATTGAGAAGAAGTTGTATAAAGCAAAATATTGATGCTGGACAATAACAATAAATTAGGTATGTTTGAGTTATTGTTGAGAAAATGTTGTGTTTTTTGTGTTTTTTGTTCATTATTGTTGTTCAACACCCCATTTCTTGGATTAATGACAACACTTCAAAACAAAGTTGGTTGCAAATGAAAACTTACTTCAAACTCAACAAGAGGCCCAATGGGCCTGCATCGCTCACCTGGTATAAATCTCACACTTGTAACCTTAAAAGTGATCTAAAATAAAGCTACAGGCAAAATATCAGTTTTTATGATTAAAATTCATTCAAAAGACCCTGTTATTTTTTTTTAAACATTTCACCCCTGTGATTGAAAGTCGAACAAATTTTATAGCCTTTCATCTCAAGATACAACTTGCAAAGTATCAACATCCTGGCACCCATGGTTATTCAGAAGAGGTCGTTTAAAGATTTTAAACAAATTTGACACCTGTGACCTTGCATATGGGTGAAGGTCATTCATTTGAACAAACTTTGTAGCCCTTCATCTCAGCATGATAAATGATAAATATCAACATCCTGAGCCTTTTGGTTATTCAGAACAAGTTGTTTAAATATTTTAAACAAATTTGCTCCTTGTGACCTTGAATATGATTCAAGGGCATACATTTAAACAAACTTGGTAGCCCTTGATCCTAGTATGCTACTGACTAAAAACATCACCCTGGGCATTTTGTTTATTCAGAAGTTGTTTAAAGTTTTTAACATATTTGACCCCTGTGACCTTGAATATGGGAGAAGGTCATTCATTTGAACAAACTTTGTAGCCCTTCATATCAGCATGATATTGGCCAAATATCATCTCCCTTGGCATTTTGGTTATTCAGAAGAAGTTATTTCAAGGTTTTTTAAGACAATTGACCCCTGTGACCTTGAATATAATTGAAGGTCATTCATTTGAAAAAACTTTGTAGCCCTTCACCCAAGCATGCTACTGGCCAAATATCATCTACTTGGGCAGTCTGGTTATCGAGAAGAAGATGTTTAAAGTTTGTAACATATTTGACCCCTGTGACCTTGAAAATGGGTGAAGGTCATTAATTTTAACAAAGTTTGTAGACCTTCATTCCAGTTTGCTTCTGGCCAAATATCGACACTCTAGGCCTTTCGGTTATTAAGTAGAAGTAGTACGGAGCAAACCTGATTGAATATGGTTTTATAAATGACAGAATATTCAAATGAACAGGCGATTAGGTCTATTTCAGTGACAAAACATAATGTCTAAGCTATACATTCCTGTTGAGTTTTTCAACTGCTAAGACACAAAAAACTTAAAACAGGAAAAAACGGACGTACCGGTTGACATGAGCACAATGAGCTTGGACCGCAGTCTGTGCCTCAAGGCATGTTGATTGATTGATTAGTTGGTTGATTGGATTTACGTCCGCTTCACTATCTAGTAGTTCGGTTATCCAGCAGACGAATCAACGCATGTAGATCGCATGCGGCTATACCGGGGTTCTAGTGGCGAAGTCCTGCTGGGGAGTAAGAGGGGTCCCTGGAACTGACACCTCTGGTTATCGGAAGACTCACAAGCATCACATCATATGATATTGGCCGTATTAACACCCTATTGAAATTTACCTTCCTATTTTAAATTGTATCTGATTTAAGATGAGATATTCACTTGATATACCGTTATATCGCACAGGAAGGATATAAATGTATGACCGATACGTTAATTACGGACATGGTACTAACATTATAATCAAATGGTATGAACATCTAAATAAATCTTGGCACATGTACGTACGTCATCGCCATTTTGCAAAGGTATTAAATAAAACTTTTACACCTGTGCCCTGTGGCTACGTACCACTGAAACAAACGGTACAAACGTCTCTATCATTTACACACATCTCTATCTGCTGGCCCTAGGTGTGATACCAATTAGTGTCAATTATTCCACACCTTTTGAAGGGTTGCGGGGTAGGGGGAGGTGTCATAAGGTTACAGTGCGCACAACAAATGGATCTTGGTGTGTCCTACGGTATATTTCAAATCAAGGGATTAATAAATTAATATGTGGTAAATAGATTCCATAATCCAGTTATCTGTAAAATTAAAGAGCTCACTAATATATTATGCAAGAATTTCTTACATTTTTATGCATATTTTCTCGATCGCGTGATATATATTGATGTAATTTGATCTTCTATAATGCATTTTGAAATATCAGAGTGCAAATGCATGAAACGAGAGAACACCTTTTTTAAATGTTGCTGTATTCTGAACTACGGATAGTTTTACGAACAAGAGGCCCAGAGGCCTGTATCGCTCACCTGAATATGTTTAAAATAATTGGTATGAAGTAGGTGCTGTAAGTACATATGAAATTTCAGAAATATCCATCTAGTACTTGAGATATAGCGAGAAAAAACTTCAAACAGAGCCCCACCCCTATATGCAACTTAGGAGGGTCATACCCACCAATTATACAAAATTGAGTCCCCTTGACCCAAGGATGCTCCAGACTAAATTAGGATAAGATCCCTTAATCTCTATGGTAAAAGAAGGATTTTAAAGGTTTTACCTTTGTTTCCCCTATTGGGACCCACCTCTCTGCCTCCAGAGGGGTGAGACACACCGTTTATACAAAATTGAGTCCCTTTTGCCTAAGGATGCTCCAGACTAAATTAGGATAAGATCCCTTAATCTCTATGGTAAAAGAAGGATTTTAAAGGTTTTCCCTTTGTTTCCCCTATTGGGCCCCACCTCTCTGCCTCCAGAGGGGTCAGACACACCGTTTATACAAAATTTAGTCCCTTAACCCAAGGATGCTCCAGACTAAATTAGGATAATATCCCTTAATCCCTATGGTAGAAGAAGGATTATAAAGGTTTTACCTATATTTCCCCTATTGGGCCCTGCCCCTCAGGTCCCACGGGGGGTGGGGGTCTCCTTTACCAAAGGATGCACCACACCAAATATGGAACAAATCCTTTCATTCCTACAGAAGAAGCATTTTAAAGAATTTGCTATGTTTCCCCTATTGGGCCCCACCCCTCAGGCCCCTGGGATACCACACCAACGACTTATACAAAATTGGTTCCCCTTCACCCAAGGATGCTTCTGACCAAATATGGAACAAATCCTTTCATTCCTACAGAAGAAGAAGGATTTTAAATAATAATTTGCTATGTTTCCCCTATTTGGCCCCACCCCTCAGGCCACTGGGGGGCCACACCCACGGTTTATACAAAATTGGTTCCCCTTCACCCAAGAATGCTTCAGACCAAATATGGAACAAATCCTTTCATTCCTACGGAAAAAGGATTTTAAAGAATTTGCTATAATTCCCCTGCTGGGCCCCGCCCATCAGCCCCCAGGAGGGCCAGACCCACAGTTTATACAAAATTGGTTCCCCTTCCCCCAATGATGCTTCTGACCAAATATGGAACGAATCATTTCATTCCTACAGAAGAAGAAGAATTTTAAAGAATTTGCTATAATTCCCCTATTGGGCCCCGCCCCTCACCCCCCAGGGGAGCCAGACCCATGGTTTATACAAAATTTGTTCCCCCTCCCCCAAGGATGCTTCAGACCAAATATGGACCAAATCCTTTCATTCCTACAGAAGAAGAAGGATTTTTAAGAATTTGCTATATTTCCCCTATTGGCCCCGCCCCTCAGCCCCCAGGGGGGCCAGACCCATCATTTATAAAAAAAATTGATTCCCCTTGGCCTAAGGATGCTTCAGACCAAATTTAGTCCAAATCTACAGGGCCGTTCATGACAAGTAGCATTTTCAAGGAAAAGTTGACGGACGGACGGACAGACGGACAGGTATTAGCTCACCTGCCCTTCGGGCAAGTGAGCTAATAAAAAACAGATTTGTGAAAAATGTGAAAATTAACCTAATTAGGCATACACAATATATATAGTCTACCTTACCCAATTTATTGGCCAATTATGTTGACATATCAGTGCTGCAACTAACAGTAAAGCAAAAACGAAAATCTTACGTTGCCAAGTTGTGAAAGATGTGATTTATTCCCCCACACCCCAACAAATCCGTTAGTGACCAACCGCTCATTATACCACTTGTTATATCATCATTTGTGGGTAGGTTTTTGCTTTAGACAGCTGTCAAACCGAAATAAACTAGTGACTGGTTTGCCGCTGGAGTGAGGGAGAGACGATGGACGATGAGAGGTAGGTAATATATTAAAACAGAGACATATATTACAATATGCGTCTCTGATTAAAACGATATATATTTGCATCTATAACAATAATACTGTATATGTCTCTGATCAGCGACACCATTGTTAGTCGTAGGTAGCGGCTGATCGAAACCAAACGAATGACTGCGGACAGCTGGTAATGTTATCGGCAGTCATTCGTGACGATGGGACAGCGGTCGATAGGTCAGGACAAGCATGAGTAGTCGGCAGATATAAAACGTTTGTCAAAAACCGACCAGAAAAGCCGAACAATACAAATCGACCGCTTAAGCCAATCGATATGGATTCGACCGCTAAAGCCAATCCAGCCGAAAAACATGATCGCAAAACGGACGATGACCAGCCGCGAACCGAACCTTGCTCGAACGCAGGACGCACGCTAACCTGACGGAGTGAAAACTATTCCCAAGTGGATACTAGGGCGTAATTCTAACTGTAACTTTCATTAGGGATAATTGTAAACATAGCTGTAAATCTCCTCCAAGGATTCAAATACTGGATGTAAACAGTGCATGACCACTGTGACCTTGAAAGTCTGTTGATGTCTTTTTCATCTGCAAACTTTGTCGGGCTCTATTCTAGGAATCTACCAGCCAATTATAAAGATTCTATGCCCTAAGATTATTTAGAAGTTGTTAAGTTTTTTGACTTATTTGAACCCTGTGACATTGACCATAGGTTTAGGCCATTTTCATTTGCATACTTCGACAGGCACCATTCCAGGAATCTACCTCCTAAATATCATGAGGATATGTCTTTCAGTTCTTCAAAAGAAGTTTGAAGGTTTTGACATAAGTTGAGGTCATTTTCATAACCACACTTCGTCGGTCCCTATCCCAGGAAGCTTGGAGCCAAATATCACAAACTCTAGGCCTTTCAGTTCTATAGAAGTCGTTTAATAGAAAAGTTGACAGACGACAGACAGAACGACAAAAGATGGAGGCCGCACCACTGCATAAACTAACTTGCCCTTTGGTAGCATGGTGAGCTAAAAATTCATTTCATTGAATTGTTGTCTGGCAGCTGTATTGGTCCATGTGAGTGTTTAAGTTTTGCTTTAAGAGCTTTTACTTGCAATTAAGGTAATAAATTACATATCATCGATTTGAAGGGGAAGTCATCGAAACAAATGGAGCAATAAGCATAATGTAAAAATTTCAGTTTAATTTGATAGTATATTACACAACACTGTACTTACAGTCAATGGGATCCTCGTTATCGGAGACAAACTTAAACAGCTTATGGAACTTTTCTGCTCTAGATCTGCTTATTGTTGGAAAGGACTCCTTTAATAAAAACGAAGATTTTGAATTTTAAGGGAACATGAAAGAAAAGTGTTTTTTATAAGTTGACAAACCTGTTCTCAATCTACATACTTCACATACAATATTCATGATCACAACATACAGGCTTAATTGATTATTAAAACTTTTAATCAACTTAAATATCAACAAGAGGCCCAATGGGCCTGAATGGCTCACCTGGTATTAATCTTACACTTGTAATCTTAAAAGTGGACTAAAATACAGCAACAGGCAAAATACCAGTGTTTGATTCAAAATAATCTATAAGAAGTTTTAAACATGCGACACATGTGACCTGGAAAGTCAAACAAGGACATTAAGTTGAACAGACTTTATAGCCTTTCATACCAGCATGATTCTGGCAAAATATCATTACCCTGGACCTTTAAATTATTCAAAAGTTGTTTAAAGATTTCAACATAATTGACCTCCGTGACCTTAGAAATAGGTGAAGGTCATTCATTTGAACAAACTTGGTAGCCCTTCATCACAGCTTGTAACTGGCAAAATATCATCACCCTAGGCCTCTTGGTTATTCAAAAAAAGTTGTTGAAAGGTTTTGACCCCTGTGATCTTGGATATATGTCAAGGTCATTAATTTGAACAAACTAGGTAGTCATTCATCCCAGCATATTACTGACCATATATCATTACCCTAAGCCTCTTGAAACCTTGAAAGTAGGTCAAACTACTTTTCATTCTCAAACTTTGTTGGACTCTATCCCAGGAAGCCACCAGCCAAATATAAAGATTCTATACCTTTCAGTTCTTCAGAAGAAGTCGTTTGAAGTGTTTGACACCTGTGACCTTGAAAGAAGGTCAAAGTCATTTTCATTCTCAAACTTTGTTGAGCTCCATCCCAGGAATCCATCAGCCAAATATAAAGATTCTATACCTTTTAGTTCTTCAGAAGAGGTCGTTTGAAGTTTTTGACATATTTGACCTGTGACCTTGAAAATGGATGAAGGTCATTTATTTTAACAAACTTGGTAGCCCTTCATCCCTGCATGATACTTGCCAAATATCATCATCCTAGGCATTTTGGTAACTGAGAAGAAATTGTTTAAAATTTTAAAGTAAACAGTTGACGCCGGACAAATGGACGACAGATGGACGACAGATGGACGACCGATGCTGCACCATGGCAAAAGCACACTTGCCCTTCGGGCAGGTGAGCTAACAAGTCTGTATTACTCACCAATCAAGCCTATAAGTCAAGTCCCTTACCCAGACACACTATAAGTCATGTCCTTTACTCTGACACACTTTAGGTCACGTTCCTTACCATGACACACTATAAGTCATGTCCCTTACCCTGACACATCATCTATGTATACTTCACTGGTCCTTTGTCTAATGAGTACAAAATGAACTAGTCATCGAAACGTCACACATAAATACTTACTAGTTGTGATACATAACTTTTTTATAAAACATCAACAGCCATGCCCTTTACCGTGATACATCACTATTGTTTATAAGTCGGCAACATATCATTAGCACAAACTCCAAATATTTCTATAATATAATTTTAGTTAAGCTAATGGAATCCTTCCTGTTCATCAGTTGACAATATACAAAATTACTTATCCTAGTGGAATCCTTCCAGTTCATCAGTTGACATTGGGTGTGAGTAAGGGCGATTGTGTATGGATGCCGGATGTAGAGTAGAAAGATAATGTGTTGATGTAAAAATACACAAGTGTTAATGTTGTGATGCAACTGAAAAGATGCATGTTCTTATAATATATGAAATCATTTCATCATACATGAATGAATGGAGAATGATGATGTTGATGATGATTGATGATGATGATAATGATGAGGATGATGGAGATAATAACATCACAATGTATGTGAGATGATGATGATGAGGATGATGGAGGTAATGGCATCACAATGTATGTGAGATGATGATGATGATGATGATGATGATGATGATGATGGAGGTAATGGCATCACAATGTATGTGAGTGAGTGGACGTTTTTGTTGTTGTTGTTTTATGTATCAATAAAACTTGTTCATCAGTTGACATTATACTAAATTACTTCTGTAATGGAATCCTTTCTGTTCATCAGTTGACATTATACTAAATTACTTCTGTAATGGAATCCTTTCTTTTCATCAGTTGACATTATACAAAGTTACTTACTCTAGTGGAATCCTTCCTGTTCATCACCATTTGCTGTGAACTGTAATACACAGCAAAAATAAAACATCTCAAACACTAACACAATATTAACCTGTGTTAAAATTTGCATGGCATTGTCACTTTATCATCTGTTTGAAAGCTATGTCGTTGATGGGACTTTAAATGCCATGCACCACAAGACACAATTTTTAGTATATTAATACAATACAGATCGTACATACAATACTTGCTTATGTAATTGTAAATGTGAAAAATATTTCAAAAATACTTTTATTATCACAAAGCCAATGGGCCTGCGTCGTTCATATGAAAAGTAGTGTATAGGGTATGTCAGAGTGTGTACACGCACATGCACATGACTACAGGTAAGCAAATACTATTAGGTACTTTGTAACATCATATGGAGACACATTAACAACATTTTTCCGCATGACCTGATACAAAATTATGTGACTGGTGACCACAGGCGTTAAAACTTTTCATGGCTCACTGTGGCAATTATGTAACAATGGTAATTGATGTTTCAATGTCTTTGCTAAGGCTCTCACCCGGGACCTCTGTTGTGTTATTCTGATGCCGAATGAGTTAACAGAAATTCCCGGAGCCAAAAAAGTCAGTAGGAAGAAGTTGGTATTTTACTAGCGTGACAGGGATCACATATACATTTGTAGACTAAATTTACCACCCACAAACTTCTGATGACATGATATTTCCACATTACGAAAGAAATGTTTAACGCTTACACAGTGTTAATTTATAATGGTGTTAAGCTGTTCCACACAGCTTCCCTCTCTTTGTTCCTTTGCTTTTTTCGCATTTGAGAGGTTGTGGGACAAATTAGCTTATTAATATCCTTTCGTAGCAAAGTAACATTTATCAATGCGCTTTCGCAACAGTAACAGGATGGAGACAAAACAACCATTATCATTCTGTCATCTATTTTAGCACTAGATAAGCTACACCAGTTAGCCATAAAAGGAGTGGTTTTCTGTGTTAAAACATATTCTTGCATATGGTCCTGAAAAATAACAAAAAAATAGAAATCTATTCAATTTTCTGTTTCTTTCTACTTCGTTTTAAATCGACAGTTTTCTGGGTATTTTCCCCGTACAACACAACCAAAAGTTTTAAATACGGCAGCAAAATTATTCTTATGTTATTCTTAGAAGATTTTAATTCTAAGGATAATTTCAGGGGAGTGAATTTCCAGATTCTTTACTACTGCCATTAACTGAAGCAAATCTTTGTTTTCAGTATATTTTTTTTTTTTTTTTTAAATCCTTTCTGAAAAAAACCCCACATTAAAATGAAATAAGCCAATATAAGTTTATCAATTGTACATGTAACAAGAGGCACAGAGGGCCTGTATCGCTCACCTGAATATGTTTAAAATAATTGGTATGAAGTAGGTGCTTTAAGTACATATGAAATTTCAGAAAGATCCATCCAGTACTTGAGATATAGTGAGAACAAACTTCAAACAGAGCCCCACCTCTATGCAACCTAGAGGGGTCATACCCATCAATTGTACAAAATTGAGTCCCCTTGACTCAAGGATGCTCCAGACTAAATAAGGATAAAATCCCATAATCCCGATGGTCGAAGAAGGATTTTAAAGGTTTTACCTCTATTTCCCCTATTGGGCCCCGCCTCTCTGCCTCCAGAGGGATCAGACACACCGTTTATACAAAATTGAGTCCCCTTCACCCAAGGATGCTTCAGACCAAATATGGAACAAATCCTTTCATTCCTGCAGAATAAGAAGGATTATAAAGAATTTGCTATATTTCCGCTATTGGGCCTCGCCCCTCAGCCCCCAGGGGGGCAACACCCACCGTTTATACAAAATTGGTTCCCCTTAACCCAAGGATGCTCCACACAAAATATGGAACAAATCCTTTTATTCCTACGGAAGAAGAAGGATTTTAAAGAATAATTTGCTATGTTTCCCCTATTTGGCCCCGCCCCTCAGGCCCCTCGGGGGTCCACACCAATGGTTTATACAAAATTGGTTCCCCTTCTCCCAAGGATGCTTCAGACCAAATATGGAACAAATCCTTTCATTCCTACAGAAGAAGAAGGATTTTAAATGAAATGAAAAATAATTTTCAATTGTTCCCTGAATTTACTTGGCCTCAGTGTCCATCCCTGGCTCTGTGCTAGGTCTGCCTCGAAATGAGAAATGTCTATTAATCACACAATTGTAACCATAAAAGTGAACTTACATAAAGTTACAGGCGAAACATCAGTGTCTTGACTTAAAGTCATTCAAAAGAGTCTGTTAACGATTTAAACACATTTAACCCATGTGACCTTGAAAGTCAAACAAGGACGTTATAGTGGAACAAATTTCAAAGCCCTTCATCCCAGAATGCAAACCGCCAAATATCACCACCCTATACCTTTGTTTATTGAGAAGATGACTTTTACTGGAGAAGATTTATGCACTATGGACCCGATGTGACCAGTGTGTCAAGGTCATTCACATGAACGAGCAATCACCCTGTACCCTGTTATTCAGAAGAAGTCATTTAAAGATTTCAACATATTTGACCCCTGTGACCTTAAATATGGGCAAAGGTCTTTCATTTGAACAAACTTGGTACCCCTTCATCCCTGCATTCTACAGGCCAAATAGCATCATCCTGTTCCTCTTGGTTATACAGAAGTCGATTAAAGGTTTTTAAGAGAATTGACTGTGATCTTAATACGAGTTAAGGTCATTCATTAGAACTCGGTAGCCCTTCATCCCCACATGCTAATGGCCAAATATCATCACCCTAGAGTTTTCGGTAATTCAGAAGAAGTTGTTTTAAGGCTTTTAAGACAATTGACCCGTGTGACCTTGAATATGGGCGAAGGTCATTCATTTGAATAAACTTGGTAGCCCTTCATCCCAACATCTTTCTGGCCAAATATCATCACCCTTGACCTGTCAGTTATACAGAAGAAGTTGTTAAGAGGTTTTTAAGACAACTGACCCATGTGACCTTGAATATGGGCGAAGGTAATTTATTTGAACAAACTTGGTAATGCTTCACCCCAACATCTTTCTGACCAAATATCCTAACCCTAGGCGTCTTGGTTATTTAGAAGAAGTTGTTTAAAAACTTTAACATATTTGACCCCTGTGACCTTGAAAATGGATGAAGGTCATTTATTTGAACAAACTTTGTAGCCCTTTATCCCAGCATGCTTCTGGCCAAATATCATCACCCTAGGCCTTTTTGTTACTGAGAAGAAGTTGTTTAAAGTAAAAAAGTGACACCCGACGACGGATGCCACACCATGCCATAAGCTCACTCGGCCCTTCTGACCAGGTGAGCTAATAAGGGGAAACTAAGTATAGCATCAAAGAAACAATGTTAAACCATGGTTTTTTAAGAGACACTTATTGACCAATGTTAGTTACCAGACCAGAATTTGTTTTCTTGATAATAATTACAATGTAATTCTTTCCTGATGTCAGCAGATCACCTAACTTGTAAAGAGGTACTTACCTGATGGGGCATGACTCTTGAGCGCCTCCAATGGTAAGCAGCACAACATCGTCCTTCCTGTTGGAGGTCAGGGCTGCATCATTGCTAGGCCACAGTGGACTGATGGTGGCCATCACTATCAAACTAATAATGATGATGGCATCACTATCTAGCTAATGATGGTGACAACCTGTGTCTCCCACCCTCAGTCAGATCATGCCAAATGACGGGCATTCCCAACATTGCAACACATTCAGATATGGAAGACTACTACTGAGACACAATCTTGAGCACAAGCTCAGTTTCTGTTAGATAAATGGCAACTATTTAGAAGCTTTGAACTGTATCTATAGAAACTGATTGCTGATGAGTGATATATTCCCCTGGTTTCACTGATGTATGTAAGCTTAGTTGCTTGCCAATTCACATTCAATATTTCCAAGCATCTCAGTCACCAACAAATCATCAATAAAATCTTGTACACTAATGATGCTGGCAGACGATGGTGACAACTTGCAAGTGTAGGCAGACTGGTGGTGGTAACTTGGTAGGTTGAGAACTCTCTGATAGAAGGCCTCTTTTTCTGTAAAACATAATAGGGTCACATGAAATCTACAAACAAGAAGAGGCCCAATGGGCCTGTTATCCCTAACCTGGTATACATCCCACACTTGTAACCTTAAGTGATCTTAAATAATGCTAAAGACAAAATATCAGTGTTTATGATTAAAAGTCATTCAAAAGAACCTGTTAAAAGATTAAAAACCATTTCAACCCTGTGACCTCGAAAGTCGAACAAGGTCATTATGTTGGAACAAATTTTATAGCACTTCATCTCAGGATGCAAATTGCAAAATATCACGACTCTATACTTTTGTTTATTGAAATTAGGTCATTTAAATGTTTAAACATATTTGACTAAATGTGACCTCGAAAGTGAGTCAAGGTCATTCAAATAAACAATAGGCCAAATAGACCTGAATTGCTCACCTGGTAATAATCTCACACTTGTAATCTTAAATGTAGACTAAAATACAGCTACAATCAGTGTTTGATTCATAAGAACCTATTAAAAGATTTTAACATATGAGGCCGGTGACCTTGAATGTTGAACAAGGACATTAGGTTGAACAGAGTTTATAGCCTTCAAACCCAGCATGCTTCTGGCAAAATATCATTACCCTTGATCTTTTGGCTATACAGAACAAGTCATTTAAAGATATAACCATATATTGACCACTGTGACCTTGAATATGGGCGAAGGTAATTCACTTGGTAGTCCTTCATTTCAACATGTTAATGGCCAAATATCATCACCCTTGGCCTTGCTTATTAAGAAGTCGTTTCAGGTTTTTAAACATATTTGACCATGTGACCTTGAATATATGTCAAGGTTATTCATTTGAACAAACTTGGTAGTCCTTCATCCCAGCATGTTACTGGCATTATCCTAGGCCTCTTGGTTATTCAGAAGAAGTTGTTTAAAGGTTTAAAATATATTTGATCCCTGTGACCTTGAAAAAAGATGAAGGTCATCCCAGCATGCTACTAGCCAAATAACATCACCCTAGGCCTCTTGGTTATTCAAAAGAAGTTCTTTTCAAGGGTTTTAACATATTTAACCCTTGTGACCTTGAATATAAGTCAAGGTCATTCATTTGAACAAACTTGCTTGCCTTTTGTCCGAATATGTTACTGGCAAAATATCATCACCTTTAACACTTGGTAATTCAGAAGAAGTTGTTCAAAGTTTTTTTTTCATTTGGACAAACTCGGTAGTCCTTTATTCCAGCATGCTGCTGGCCAAATATCATCATCATCCTAGGCATTTTGGTTATTCAGAAGAAGTTGTATTACAGGTTTTTAACATATTTGAACCCTGTGACCTTGAATATAAAGCAAGGACATTCATTTGAACAAACTTGGTAGCCCTTTATCCTAGCATGCTAGAGGCCCAATATCAGTACCCTGGGCATATTGGTTAGTGAGAAGAAGTTGTTGGAAGATTTTAAGACATTTGACCCATGTGACCTTGAATATGATTCAAGGTTTTCATTTGAACAAACTTGGTAGCCCTTCATCCCAGCATGCCACGGGCCAATATCTGTACTCTGGGCCTTTTGGTTATTGAGCAGAAGTTGTTTGTTAAAAGTAAATTATTGACGCCGGACGGACGACGGATGCCGCATCACGGCATAAGTTCACTTGGCCCGTCGCACCATATTAGCCCTGTGACCTTGAAAATATGTCAAGGTCATTTGTTTGAACAAACTTGGTATCTCTTTATCCCAGGATGTTACTGGCCCATATATCATCTTACTTGCCAAATATTATTATCCTAAGCATTTTTGTTATTGAGAGGAAGTTGTTTTATGGTTTTAAAACATATTTGACCCCTGTGACCTTGAACAAACTTGGAAACCCTTCATCCTAGCATGAATTACTGGCCAAATATCATTATCCTATCCCTCTTAGTTATTCAGAAGAAGCTGTTTAAAAAAAATTTAAGACAATTGACCTCTCTGACCTTGAAAATGGATGAAGGTCATTCCTACCAGCATGCTACTGGCCAAATATCATCACCCTGGGCATTTTGGTTATTCAGAAGAAGTTTTTTAAAGGTTTCAAACATATTTGACCCCTGTGACTATGAATATACGTCAAGGTCATTTGTTTAAACAAAGTTTATAGCCCTTTATTCCAGCATGTTACTGGCCAAAAAAAGTTGATTAAAGGTTTTAAACATATTTAACCCCTGCAGACCTGGGTATATATTCTAAAGGATATGTGTAATTTTCATTGCCCCAATGTGTATTTTGCTCAGCCAACGGGTACTTTGCAATCTCAATAGATTAACTGTAACAAAAAGTAATTAATCATGCTACATTCAGTAAATACGTTGTTTACTGTTATTATGTGTCAATTATAAAACATAATATAAAAGTGTAAGGACATAATATTTGTTTTTTTGCAGGGTATTATTCCTATTTTTAATTTTGTTTAGACAGTAGTTTTAATGTTTAAATGTTTCAAGAACAGTCAATACTTAAAACATGTCATAGTGACTTACCTCGCCCAATCTTGTAGTCAGGGAATATGATTTGAAGGCACTACAGATCATGTCTGCAGTGCTCAAACTAAGGTTTAAATCTGTTATCATTTCCACCATAGTTACTTCTGCTTTTATCACACTTACATCGTCAAATATTACCAGGATCAGTAAAATGGTATGATTTAATTATATTGCTGAATTAAACGAATTTGTTTTCTTTTGACATGCAAGATTTAAATTAGTACTAATATGAATACCTGGCCTCCTCTGGCGCGACGACGCAAGATATAAAAAAAAAATGCTCTTCGTCAGAAAGCTACGTTATCGCAGCTAGATTAAAAATGTCAAAATGACGGACCATGATGAACAACTGAGGAAGGAGAACCTACTTCTAGTAAACAGGATCGCATTTTTTTTTTAAATCTTAATTTTCAACAGTTCATGTTTTCATATGATGTTGACTTAGAATGTATGATCATGTAACAACCTTTTTTCTATAAAGAATTAATTTTCAACTTCGGAATCGGAATACGTATTGAAAACGGGGGAAAATATTTTATTACGTTGTAAAAATGACGCGTGCTGCCGATAACTATGGCTTCTGTTTCAGACAAAAGGAACTGATTAAAGAAAAGTTGTTTCAACATAAAAAAAGGTCCATTTACAAGTATGCTTTAATCTCTGTAAAGTATTGAAAAAATATAATTATCAAGTATCTCAACACTTTCCATATCTGACACATATTGTACATGTACACGTAGTGGTTTTGCCATACAGTTTATTGCGTGTGATGGCTAATATGACTTACTAAGTGTTAGCCTATGGAGACAGTGAAAGTGGGAAAGAGAGTTCACATACATTTATATGCATGGTCTAGAAAACAAAATTGGCCAAAGACATTGAGTTGTACAATGTAATAAATAAATTCACAAACGTTTCTCTTTTTTATACGTGTGTGTAGTTTGTCATTGCATATATGCACTTTATGTAAACATTTGAAAAGGGATATTTGTCTCATCAATATTCCTTTTTACAGAAAGAGGGAAGGTGTTTAGCCCCGTACCATCTGTTACGGTCACATTCCGGTACTAAATTCAATATATATTTATATATATCTACTTTATGTTTATGCCTATTATCATTGTTGACATTTAATTGTAAATGTATGACGGGAGAAGGCTGTGATAAATTTTAAAAACTTGTGCCCCATCCCGGTTCAATTTTATTGGCAGCAAATATATGTTTAAAGCTAAATAAATTTAAATTCAGAATATTGGCAAGTGTGGAATTAACTTCTGATGATGAATAATTATTGTTCGATAAGTTTGAAAAAGGACTTAGAAATCATATTACTTGGTTTCATAGTGCGGTAAAAAGTTGCAGTTGCCTCTCTGGGGGCCCCTTTGGAAACCGTTTCATCTCGCTCACACCACTTGTGTTTACTGCCTAGTCAGGGGACGTTATCGGCGCTATTTTTAGCAGGGCTTTCCCAAACAATTCAAGTGGTCAAACTGGACATTTGGAACGGACTATGAGCATGGGAATAGCGAGGTAATATAAGCGAGAGGACCTTCAATACATACATCCATTAAAATAAATATGGCTTTCCACATGATGTCCCTTTAAAGGTTTTAACCTATTTGCCTCCTGTGACCTTGAAAATAGGCGAAGGTTATTTATTTGAACAAACTTCGTAGTCCTTTATTCCAGTTTGCTTCTGGCCAAATACCATCACCCTAAGCCTCTTGGTTATTAAGAAGAATTTGTTTAAAGTAAAATATTGCTTCAGGCCAGGTGAGCTAAAAAAAGATTGATAGCCCTTCATCCAAGCATGCTACTGGTTTAAATATCAACATTCTGGGCCACTCTGGGTTTTCGACTGTGTAAGAGCAAAGTCGCTTTTTACCAACCATGTGAAATAAATTTTATTCCAAGCCTTACCAGTTAAGTCATTTATTAGTATTGCCCTAGTTCTATAAAAGATTGATTATAATATATTTGATAATATACTTCTAGAAAATGTCAACATCCATGGCGACTGCCTAACTTGTGTACTAATGCGTACTACGTCATCAGTATTCGACGATCAATTGCTTTCCACTGTACGGTGGCAAAATAGGACAGAAAAAAGTTAACTCAAACGTGAGCTGCTCAATTATATCTGATTGAGGCGAATAAATCTCATTAACTTCAGAAAAAAACACGGAAAAGTCACTTTGAACAGTTTAAAACAGTTAAAAGGTTTTTTGATGTTAACGTTTTGTTTTCCTAGCAATGGAAAGTAACTGCTCAGCCCTCTCCCTGGTACGATCATGAGAGAAGAAATTGTCACCAAATTGTTTTCCTCTTTGTTGACTTTTTACCGAAAATAAGGGAAACTATCTTTTATTTATGTCTCTGAATAAAAGGAAATTTACTTATTCAACAAAATGTCAGTACCAAAGCAAACTAAAATTCTGCAAATCGCATACACAATGATAAGCTGACATCTCTCGCCTTACAAAAAGTATGCAAGCCGATAGTCCGAATTATTCTGACCTTTTATAGACTTTTTTCATATCGGTCTGTCGTCGATTAACGTCCATGTGCCAAATGTGTGTGACAGTGACGATTTGTTTCGAAAATATCAGCTTGAAGTGCGCTCCGGGTGCATATTTCCCGCATATTATAGAGGGCCGGAGTTCTGACGTTAATCGACGACAGACCGATATGAAAAAAGTCGATAAAACATCAGAATAATTCGGACTATCGGCTTGCATACTTTTTGTTCCAATCTAAGTCTCCGCTAACACGCGTCACGTGATTTCGAAGGAGCAGTATGACAGCAAAGCAGACGAGAAGCCACAAACACTTTCAGGTTAATTTAATGGGTCTTCAAGGGTGTTCAAGTTACTTCCAGTACAGATCATCATTTCATTTTTTTTTTAGAATGGTTGCAAGCATGCCGGCGTCAAAACATAACCTCCATGATCACCCCTGACATGACCTGCAAGTGCACTCGCAACCCAGAAATAAACGACCATCAAAAACAGATGATGGTTGAAAAATGAACACGGGAGGATAAAACTTAGAAAGAAAAAATACTATTATTTTAAGAAAACATGGCACTGAAATTCTGATATTTGCACCCTCATAATATAGTTATTACCATGAACAAATGACAGCAGTCTGAACTCCTCTAGATTCATCGTCAGATCGGGTTGAGCTTTACCAGGAAATCGTTTCTACTTACATCACGAGGTTACTGTGACTGTCAGCAGCAGCATTTTATTATTACTTAATGTATTTCGAATTGAACATTGCCATGCATGCTACATCTGTGTAACGTCGGTGTAAGCCCATTGATGACCTTCTAGTACTAATATTAAAAATATCCGGCCTCCTCTGTCTGACGACGCAATATATAAAAAAATATCTCGTCGTCAGAAAGCTACGTTATCGCAGCTATCGACCTACCTGCATGGCATGTTGTCATCTGGCCATAGTCACACCTACTGATTGATTGACGTGCAACGCACGTCGACTTACCTCCGAAATTTAGAGTCGGGTTTCACTGCTCGTATGACTTGCAGACCCACAAAACGTACACGTTGCCTATCATCGATGTGGCTGAATTCGGTTCGCGTCACTCACATTTGCTTGGATACTAGAAGAAATAGCGTCGACACAGTTCACTGATTTTTCATGTACTCGCATATCTCGAAAATCCTCGATTCTGATTGGTTATTTCAGATGTAAAGGGGAAATCTTTACCCCGTCGTTAGTTCCGTATCATTTTAAGCAGACGTAACGGTATATATATATCTGAAGAATCTCCTTGACAAGATGAAAGTAATAGAAACTCGTTGTTGAGATTTTTCTTTTCATATTATTATGTATAACCTAGGTATATTACACGACGATTTGCCCCAAAACCGTAACGCCCCAAGCTGTTATATACGCCCCAACCAATTTGCCCCAAAAAACAAAACACCCAAACTATTTCGCCCCAAAAACTACAACGCCCCAAAAACTTCCTCCATAAACTTCACTTATTTGACAAATTTTAAAGTGAAATACATGCATACTTTTATATAATATTCTTAAAGATAGACATTAAAAAATTCAGACCTGTTGCAATTCGTTAGATGTGTGGGATATTATTTGTGTGCCGTATATAATCGATAATGTACCATATTTAGAGTATCTATGTTAGGCCTGTATTTGTATATATTTGTAGATGGTATAGATCTATATACGCTGTTTCAGATAATTATATATGATTAGATTATATACTCGCGTGTCGTAGATCGGGAAAAAAAATCCGTAATGGTATGTGTGTTGCAAGAGAGAATGTAAACAATTTCTAAAAAATTATATAAAAAAAAAATACAACTTGTTTTGTTCAAATTACATTCTACAATTCAAACCAACTTTATAATTTTCGTTCTTCATCGTGGACATTTTGAAATTGCTGACATTTATGCTGATATCTGACGACGTCATCGAGTTTTTGGCATGTATGGTTTTACACGTTCCTTTTATCAGAAGATTTTTTGAAATCACGGAGCAATCGGGCAGCTGCTCTAAGACGCTTCGCTTCAAACTACAGTGATTTTAAAATTTGGCGGGCAAAGGCTCGGCAATCAATTAAAATTGACAAAAGAAACAGCTGGAGAGAATATGTATCCAAGGTATCATCAAACACGTCCTCCAAAAATGTATGGGATATGATTCGGAAAATAAGTGGGAAAAAAGAAAAAGTCAACATCCTCGAGCTCCCACCTCATTAATAAAAACTATTTTTTGTTCGTCAAAGTCTGAAATTGCTGATGCATTTGCAAAAAAACATTACTAAAAACTCACCCCTTTAGACCACTCCCAAAAAATCAAATCACCAAACAAAGAAAGATACAATGAACCATTTACCCTACCAGAACATGTTGATTCGCTTGGAAAATCACAGGACTCTGCTTCAGATCCAGATGATATTCCATATCAATTTCTCAAACACCTACCGGACTCGTCACTAAGATATTTTCTTTACATATTCAACCAAGTTTAAGCTTTCGGAAAGATTCCAGATTCGTGGAAGAACTCAACAATTATACCTATGCCAAAACCGGGAAAGGATGCTACTGACCAAACAACTAGTGTCCTATGTCTCTGGCTAGTTGTGTATGTAGAACTTTAGAACGAATGATAAACACAAGATTGGTTTGGTTTCTTGAGGCCATCGATATAATAGTGGTTTTAAAAACAGAAGAGGGAAACATGACCATCTCATCAGACTCGAGACATTCATTCGAGAGGCTTTCGCCAAGAAGGAAGACCGTGTTGCCGTGTTCTTTGATCTTGAGAAGGCCTATGATACTATATGGCAGTATGGCATCATGAAAGATCTTCATGACCTTGGTGTACGTGGAAACCTCCCCAATTTTATATCTACTGTAATTGCCTATCAGATAGACACTTCAAAGTCCGTGTTGGTTCAACTTTTTCTGAAACATCTAAACAGGAAATGGGAGTCCCACAGGGTGGGATCCTATCAGTTACCCTGTTTAGTCTTAAAATCAATGATATAGTCAAATGTCTTGGTCAGTCAACAGAAGGGTCGTTATTCATGGATAATACCCAATGCAGCGCAGGCTTCGGGACTGAGGAAGAGCTTATCCGATGAGCTTGTGACATATGTTATCTGTCTGGTCTCCTTGGTGTTTCCTGCCTTGTCTTTCCCGATCAAGCGAAGGATGGTCGCCCCAAGAATTTGTATACCACCGTATGTAGCCGTGTCCATCTACATCGTTACGGTTATGAATTCTGATTCTCGTAGACCAAGGCGGCGGATTACTTTCAAGCCAGCAAGGCAACTCATCCCGTGTCAGCCACAGCCGGTATTGAGACGTTGCCGGTGTCTCGCGTCAGTTTGAAGCTTAGGGTAGTGTGTCCTCAGCGGTAACTTTAGACGTCACGTTCACAAATGGTTGAGGTTTTGAGCATTGTTTCACCCAGGAGTTCGTCAGTTCATCATAGACATGGAGGTCAATGCAGATTGAGCGTTTGATGCCAAAATCACTAACGGTACAGTGGTGATTTTGTAGAGAATCATGAACAGAGCACAATGCGTCGAACAAAGCACTTCCAGAAAGTGTCTCACGGTCTGTCACTTTGGGGTTTCCTTGCTTCTACATACAATTTCGAAATGATGTTCGCGATGACAATGCCTACATATGTGTCCATATGCTGTTCACTCTGGTTTACGAATGCGAGCAAGGGCAGATTTGCAGTTACCCTTTTTTCCGCAATATGCACACTGCTCTGCTTTGCTGGTGGTTTCCTTGGACGACGGTCTGTCAGCCTTGCTTTTCCGGTACGAGCTGCTGGCAGCCTCAACTGGACGAAAATCTGAAAGTCTAGAAGCTGAACGCTTACTGGGTTTTTTTGATTCAACAAATTGAAATACATCCTCAAGACTCATGTCCTGATTTTTGTGTCCTAGCAGATCGAGCTATATTTCCGGATCGGCAATTATTCGGGTAAGTACGTCACGCATGATAGCGTCAGTGTTATTGACGTCGGTTTTACATCCGGGGCACTTAATCACAAACTTTTGATATTCAATTCAATTTATTTCCGTAAGTTTTACAACTTATAGGATTTTCAACAAATAATTTCATATAAGTACAACATATAATTACATATTACTGGCACATTCATCACAAAAAAGTAGCAACAACAACATCATCGAAATCATAATTCATCGCTTTCATCATTATCATCATCATCTTCCTCATCGTAGTGGCCGTCGTCGTCGTCTTATAACTCATCATCATGAAATAATCATCTCTTTAAATCAACATTAAATACTACATCATCATCCTCATCATCATCATCCTCATCATCATCATCATCGCCAAAGTACAACAACATGACATAATTACACGAATTTCATAAAAGTGGTCCATTTTTTACAAATCACCGATATTATTGAAATCATTAGCACTTTCATCATCATCATCATCAACATTCTATTAATCCATCATCATCATCATCATCATCATCGTCATCGTCATCATCATCATTATCATCATCATCAACAACAAAAAACAACGTACAAAATTACGTAAAACAAACTTATAAGTTAAACAATCCTTCGTTTGTTAGCTTCAATAATAAATTTACCTAACAAATTCAGTTCTTTTACATTGTGTGTTTACTAATTCGATAAGTTTGAATACAGATGGTTTTTGCCAGTAATAATTTTTAATATATTTTCTCCTTAGATCTAGATGACGTGGGCAGGTAAATAGAAAATGAAATTCATCTTCTATCTCTATTGGGTCACAGTTACTGCAATATCTATTATTCCTTGCAACATTCCTGTATCTTCCCGTTTCTATTGCAAGATTGTGAGCTGACATAAGTAATTTGGTAATCATAATACGACGTTGTTTTGGTATAAACTTTGTTAAATAATATTGCAACATCACGGTATCTACCATGTATCTATAGAGATCACATTTACTTGAGATGGCCAACGAGTTGAATAAAGTTTGTTTTTCCTGATCATCTATGCGCTGTTTAATAATAGGTAGTAGATAGATGTCGGTAGCTGCCTGCCTTAACCATATATATCCAAACCCTAGTTCAAATAATTTATGCTTTATGAATAATAACCAATTTCGTTTCGGGTTTTCTCTCCAAGTTTCTTTCGATAAAAACTGATATGCTTCTTTTAGAATACAATTTTCACAATTTAACAACTTAAACCAATATTTAAACATTCGAAGCATCTGATTGTTTGCCAGAGGAAGTCGTCCAAGCTCAAAATATACCATAGCATAGATGTTTTAATACACAGTATATTTTTACAAAATTCCATATGAACCCTTTCTATTTCAACTCCTTTATAACTACCCCATATTTCACAGCCATAATATAATACACTTCTCACATATGTGTCGAAGAGGTGTAGCATAGTTTTGATGTTTAAATGAATGTGTTTACATTTAGATCGTAAGGCAAAAAGCGCTTTACGACCTTGCTCTGCTACATGTTTAACCATGAAACTGAATGTGTTATTAAATCTAAACAGAACCCCCAGATAACAGAATTGATCCACAATTTAAATTTTGTTGCCGTTATACACCCAGCTTTCTGATTCTCTAGTAATTCCACTATTTCTGAAAACCATAATTTTGGTTTTATCGGTATTAACTGTTAATTTCCACTTATTCGAATACTCACTTGGATTGTTCAAGAGGCTTTGTAAACCTTCGATTGACTCAGAAAACAAAACTAAATCATCTGCATATAGAAGAAGAAATAAACTCAATTCCCTAAAATCATAATGGGATGCTCCATTTTCTATAAAACTATTTTCAAAGTCATTTAAAAACAAAGAAAAAGGTAACGGGGACAAAATTTCCCCTTGCATCAATCCAACATTATTAGAAAAAAAGTTCGAACATTTGCCATTAACTAAAACACAAGATTAAACTAATGAGTATAAAGACTTAATTGTAGACAAAAATTTACCTCGAACACCCAGCTTTGTTAACTTGCACCACAGGCTTACTCTATCTACGAAATCAAAAGCCTTGCGGAAATCTATGAAACAACAATATAACCTTTTTCTTTCAGATAACGTTTTCGAAATTATAGTTTGCAAAGCGAAAATAGCATCCACACTGCTTACCCCTGGACGGAATC